GCACAAACACATCTGCTGCTGCTGCTGCTGCTGCTGCTGCTGCTGCTGCTGATGCTCGTGCTGCTGGTGCTGGTGCTGCTGCTGCTGCTGCTGCTCCTGCTGATGCTGATGCTGTTGATCCTGGTTTTGCTGCTTGTGCTGTTGTTTTTGCTGCTGCAGATGCTGCTGCTGCTGCAGATGCTGCTGCAGCTGCTGTTGCTGCTGCTGCATGGCATGCAGCACAACTTGCTCTTGTGTATGCTTTAGGGTTTAGGGTTTAGGGTTTAGGGTTTAGGTGTACGTACACCGCAGACATACCCCAGAAACGAGATAAAATTGAATCCGATGCACTTCCTTTCTCTCCATTCTTCGCCTGCAACAGCACAAACCCTAAACCCTAAACCCTAAACCCTAAACCCCAGACCCTAAACCCGAAACCTGAAGAGCCTTGGTACGTTTGTGTGTTGTGTGTAGGCCAGGAGGTAGTAGCTAGGGTTTAGGGTTTAGGGTTTAGGGTTTTGGGTGTACATGAAGGAATTGTTTGTATTCGCGTTCTTCCTGTTGTTTTTCTTTGTCTCCTTTTTGACGAAGCTGCAGCAATTCGCCTTCGGGTGTATCTGCAGCTGCATCTTCTGCTGCTGCTGCTGCTGCTAAGAAAGAATGCTTCAGACCCCTCATTTCTTCTTCATATGATAATGCTGTTAATAAACAACAAAACACAAAAATAAAGAGAAATATTAAGAGCAGAAACAAACAAAACGATGCAGCAACAGCTGCAGCAGCAACAGCAGCAAAAGCAACAGCAACAGCAGCAGCAGCAGCAAAAGCAACAGCAACAGCAGCAGCAGCAGCAAAAAGCATGAAGTAGCAACAACAGCGACAGAAGCAGCAGCAAATCCAGCAGCAGCGATGGAGGCAACAGCAGAAGCAGCAGCGACAACAGCAGCAGCAGCAACACCAACAAACAACAGCACCACCGGATACAGCAACGACTGCAACAGCAGCAGCAGCAGCAGCAGCAGCAAAAGCAGCAGCAAAGGCAGCAGCAGAATCTGATTAAGCAGCAACAGCAGCAGTAGACGCAGCAGCAAAGGCGGCAGCAGCAGAAGCAGAAGAAGCAACAACACAAGCAGCAGCAGAAGCAGCAGAAGCAGCAGCACCAGAAGCAGCAGCACCAGAAGCAGCAGCAGCAGCAGAGTATTAGTTTACACTTTGTCTCTTCTTTTTTCTTTTGTAGCTGCCTCTCTTCTTCTTCAAAGCCCTCTGCTCCTTCGGCTGTGAGCGTCTTCGCAACGAACTGCTGATAGTTCAGGGGTTTCTATAAAAGTAAAGAAACAAAGAAATTAAAAATATAAATATAATAAATTGTTCTTTTAAATATATAATAATAAAAATAATAATGCTTATTTAAAATGTATAAGCTGGAGAATATGCATGCAGTGCACACTAAATATTATATATTAAATAGCTTCATTTAAAAAAAGAGAAATATAAATATAAATTATTTAATACACAGTATTTAATATGCAATATATAATATACAATATATAATATATAATATATAATATATAATATGTAATATATATTATATAATATATATTATATAATAAATAAT